GGAAATGGAAATGTTATTTGACGTCGGATAAACTGACATCGCGCGACGTCGGCATTCCGATGTAAATCCAACGTGTTTTTTGAAAACTAAAAAATGTTGCCTTAGGCAGGAATCAAACCTCGGTCTATTAGATACTCAATCCTATGCGCAATCCTACACCACAAGGACGTATTATTGGATGCGTTTATTTAGTAATTTATACTTGTAGCTATTTGGGAATTATTACTTTGATAAGAAATAATTTTGTTTAAATATTATATAAATATTAAAACGAATAGTTATATATTATAAAAAATGTATACTCGAAAATGTTAATAGTTAAAAAACTATGCTAGTGCATCATACAAAACCTCATGATGTTTTATCAACCTTTATTCAAACTTTTTTCCATTAATAAAATAACACGCTTAGTTCACATAATTATTGAAGAGCGCAATTGCACACATATTGTTGGGTTTGGATTAAATTTTCATCAGCGATGTCTTACGACGTTGTTCCGACGTCGTTTTAAGGACGTTGGATTGACGTCAAAAGACGTCTAAAGACATCGGAGTACGTTAATTTTATGACGTTGCCCGACGTCTTTTTATCGACGTTGGATCGATGTCAGTACTGCGACGTTTTTTGGACGTCTTTTATAAGATGTCGGAACAACGTCAAAATACATCGAAACGACGTCAGGGGATGTTGAGATAAAGACATCGCCCGACGTCATTTTACTGACATCGGAACAACGTCGGAATAGGTCTTTTGACATCGCTGATGAAAATCAAACGTAAATCCGACGTCGGATTGACGTCGGGTGCCCACTGGGCAGTGAAACGAACAATAGAAAAGAGGAAGCATATAGTAGGCTTGCAATTTTTTTTTTACATATTTTTAAATGATCTGAATAATTTTGTTGCTTTTATTTAGTTGAATAATAAAAATGTTTATACAAAAGATTGGCTCTCTAATTTTTATGTTAAAGTTGTTATTTCCTTGTTAACTAACAAAGCAAGTAAAAAATTGTATATAATGACAACAGATTTATCTTTAGAACTGTTTCAAAACTTTTGGTTTAAATACAAAAGACCAAGTGAAAATGATACTGGAAAGGTACACTTTCGTATATTTAAACATCATTGCAGCTTTCTAGTCTTCATTTTTGTTTATGTGTATTTCATCTGTATTTCTAATGATATCGCCAGTTTTTATGATTTTATGTTGTTAAGTAAAGCATCCTTATGTTTCAGGCTAAACTAGAGCTTTGACTAATACTTTTTTCCAGTTTGAATGAATAACAACTCTCAAGGTGTATTAGCTCAATTATTTTTTTGTTTTGATAGTCTTTAGTCAATAACGGATTTTTAAATTGTTATGAGTCTACAACACTTAATTTCAGGGAAATTCAATTAAAAAGTCAGCTCTTTTTGAATTAATAGTCGGTAAGTCTAATGTGTTCCACTCTGCTAATCAAGTTTCATTTGCTTTTTTGAATTACATTCAAGCAATAGACTGTTTTTTATATTCATTCGTTTTTTAGATGTCGTAACCAGCTAGAAGTCGTAACCAGCTCGTATGAAAGGATTTCTCGACGTGAAATAGTTAATTTTATTCAACAACTCCAAAAAACAGAGCTCGCTCAAGAAACAGAGCTCGCTCAAGAAACAGAAAAAAAAGAAAGAGAAAGATGAAAAAAATATTTTGTTGAACAATACTGTTGTTTTATTTATGAATTATTCTCCTATGTTTAAACATATAAAAGATGCAGAAAATGCATCCTCTTTTATATTGACATCTAAAAGAAGTCTTTTTCTTGTATGAAGAGCTATTATCATTTTCATTTAATAAAAACAGCTTTTCATATATGAAAATTAGGAATACTATAGTGTATAGAATACTATAGTATACTAATAAGTATGACAAAAAAGTCGACCCCGAGCAAAAAACACTTTTTTAGAAGTGCATAATTGATAAACAAAGACGTCTTAAAGACGCATTTTTTATGTCTTTTCATGACAAGATAAAAACAAAAAAGACGCCTTTTCGATGTCGAAAAAAGATGTCTTTTAGATTTGCATATTCGACTAAAAAATGGCGTCTTAAAGACGCATTTTTTGTATCTTTTCATGACAAGATTATAATAAAAAAAGACGTCTTTTCGATGTCGAAAAAAGATGTCTTTTAGATTTGCATAATTGATTAAAAAAAGATGTCTTAAAGACATCGTTAATAAGACTTTTAAAGACGTCATTTCGACGTCTTTTTTTTCCACTGGGTACTGTACAGAGATAAGTTATAAAGAAATACACTCTAACAATATATATTTTTTTGGATATCAGAAAACGTCATTATTCTAATAGATGCGCGTTGTAAACTAGCAATGCTATTAGGTAAAAAATTTCTTTTTTGACCCCAAACAATACAACAATAGCGAAGGTGAGAAGAGAGTAAAGAAAAATAAATCATTCGAAGAGTTTGGATAGGAACATAGTAACAAATTAGAGAAAGCGTACTGTTAGCTCGTGTAAGTTTTTTTTAAGGTGATACAGTTGATTATACCAAGATAGGTTTTCATCAAGATATATTCCAAGATACTTTATATATTTGACGGTAAAAGCTTTTTTCCGTTAATTTTAATTTTAATAGTATCAATAGTTTTTCGAGGGGAATGAAAAATAATGTATTCAGTTTTATTGACATTCAAGGAAATACGATTATTATTTAACCAGTTACATAAGCGATGAAGATCTTGATTAACTTTTTTGCTAAGAGTCGTAAGTGATTTGTTGATATATTAAAGATTGGTATCATCAGCATAATAATGTACCATAAAATTTTTTAAAAAACAAGATAAATCATTTATATATAATAAAAACAATAACGATACAAGAATGGAGCCTTGTGGAACGCTATATTTAATAACTTTATATGTGGGTTCAAATCCATCAATTGAAACAAACTGAGTGCGATTCCTAATATATGAAGAAAACAAATGATTAGCAATACCACGTATTCCGTAGTTGTTTAACTTTTTTATTAGAATGTTGTGAATAATAGATAATTCGTTAAAAACTTCGTTTTTGTCTGTAGGTTTTATGAATATTGATTTTAGATTAGGATTCTTAAAATATTTATTAAAGTCAGTAAATTGGATGAATGAATCTTTTTCTGTAATTCTTCCGGAATTGAAACAAAAAATGAATTAAAAGAGACCGAAATTTTAATG